AAAAAATCTGTTAGGCCAAACCACTTTATGAAAGAATGGAGAAGTCAATTTAGATGCATAAGAACATTCTGCTGTCTATTTCAGGTTTTGGCACATTTGCAAACTTCCTGGAAGAGTCATGGGGATTCCAGTGCTTCGGTTCTCCCTGGGTATCATCCTTGTGCTACTGGTTATAGCTGGAGCTTTGACCAATTTGCTCCCCAACATCAAAGAAGACAAGATGCTCCCCCTGCGCAGGGAAATCAAGCCCCAGAGCACATCAGCCCTGGATTCTTTTACTCTTATCATGCAGACATACAACAGAACAGACCTCTTACTGAGACTCTTGAATCATTACCAGGCAATACCAAACCTGCACAAAGTGATTGTGGTGTGGAACAACGTGGGAGAGAAGGGGCCGGAGGAGTTATGGAACTCTCTGGGACCTCACCCTGTCCCTGTCATCTTCAAACCACAAACAGCAAACAAAATGAGGAATCGGCTCCAGGTCTTCCCCGAACTGGAAACCAGCGGTGAGTCAAAGCTGGGTTCTGGGTTGGAAAGGGCTCCTGTGGGTGGGTGGGTGTGGACTTCTGGCTTCCATGGAGGTTATCATAAAAAAGCACTTTGCAACACCTGAGAAGCAGTTTCCAGGATTCCAACAAGCAGCTTCCCTGGAGGAGGAAATCACATACCTCTTGTAATGATAGCAAAGTGGGTAATGTTAAAATATTTTTAAGAGGTATGCTGTGTGGCATAGTACTTACAGAGTGTATTTAGTCACTAAGAAAAATTCGTAAGATAACTGTCCCAGTCAGGGTTATTATTGCTGTGATAAAACACCATGACCAAATATGACTTGGGGAGGAAAGGATTTATTTGACTTACACTTCCACGTCACTGTTAATCATTGAAGAAATCATAACAGGAATTCAGACAGGACAAGAACTTGGACACAGGACTTAATACAGAGGCCATACAGGGACACTGTTTACTGGCTTGCTCCCCATGGCTTATACAACTTGCTATTCCCAGTAGCCACCAGCCCAGCGAATAGCACCATCCACAATGGGCTGGACCCTCCCCTATTAATTACCAAGTAAGAAAATGCCCTAAAGAGCTGCCTACAGCCCAGTTTTATAGAGACATTTTCTCAATGGAGGCTCCCTCCTCTCAGATGACTACAGCTTGTGTCAAGTTGACATAAAGCCAGCCCGCACAGTTTATAATGTATTTGTGTCACTTTCTTCTTCCCATGTCTAACAGTTTCTCCAGGGTGTGATTTTCTTAAAGGACCCTTGGCTTTGTTTAAGGGATCATTAGCTTCTGGGTTGATCAGCTATAACTGCGTGACGATACTTCCTGCTCAGGCAGAATTTTCTTTTCCTACTAAACAAATCTCTTTAAGAATACATTTTTAATTTACTAACTGGGTTTGAAAATACTCCATTTGAATCACCTGTATAGACTCAACTGTATCTTACCGATTTTTTCGCTGATTTCCAAACTGTTCAATGTATTTTTTTTCCTTTCCATTGCAGCAATATTAATGATAGATGATGACATACTCATTAGTTCCCAGGACCTTGCTTTTGGTTTCTCAGTCTGGCAGGTAATGTTGCTGTATCTTTTATGACACTGTATATGTAATACCTCATGGGGGGGG